GCCTCAGGGGGCGCCCCGAGGCCGGGGCCTGCCCTCAGCTACTCCGTGGACTTCCTTTCCTGTCCAACAAACAGGTGGAATGTGGTGACCTCCAAGGTCCCTTTCAATTCTAACATTCCATGTCGAGAAAAAAAAAACACCCGACCTCACTCTCCCCAAGCAAACTCACAGGATTTTAATTTACAGGGGTGATGGAGTGATGACACAGCAAGGTTAATGCCACAGAAAGAAGACTTGAGCACTTACGACTCCTGAGAGAAGTGGCCACGTCACGCCCCGCGCGGGGCCACCGGACGCCTTAACACACGCAGGGACCAGGACGCCGAGAGGGAGGGAGAAAGAGGAATTGGGACTAAGCCTCCATGAACCTAGCAGAGCGGGAGTCACCCGGGGGTGGGGGGATGTCCCCTATTGGACAGGAAGTGAAAGCACACGTTAGCGTCTGTGGTTGGGAAGTTTGTGACACGATTTTCGCGCGCCCGCCAAAGCCGCCTGGTGAGGAAGAAGGAACGAGCATGCCCGCTGGCATGGCGCTATGATTAATGGACGCCCAACGGCCCCGGGTTAACACACTCGTCCCCTCTAACTGGCTCCAGAGAACGCATGCGACAGCTGAGTCATTCTGAAAACAAAACCGCAGACTGCTCGTTGATAGCAGTGCTTCCTTTGTTTCTGCACATATCGTCGCTCCTGAAACACCCCTGTTCACCATGGAGTCCGCACAGCTTCTCTGTCACTATTTCCTGGATCCTAACGGCTCCTGAAACAGAGCTGCAGCGGCCTGGAAAGCTGCCCATATTCCACNTGCAGCCCCTGCTGCAGTGGGTTGCCATGGGCTACCGTGCGTAGCCAGCAGCCAGCGTGAGTAGCCAGCAGCCAGCGTGAGTGGCCAGCAGCCACAGTGAGCGGCCGTCCAGAAGACGGCGACAGATCTGCCTCGCCCGGGAAGAGTGCAATGATGGTGCCAACTTGGGCCAGTGAAGCAACATCCTCCACAACTAGACTGAAGAACAAAAGGACAGTTCCTCTTCCCCCAATTCCCCAGCGCTGTTCCCATACCCCAATTCCCCAATAAAAATCTTTTTTTAAAAAAAAGGGAGAAGTGCAGACGCACTGAGGGTGCGGGAGTCTGAGACAGCGGCAAGCTACCTGCCAGAATGAATTCCCCCCACTGAAGCACTATGATGAATACGCAGGATAAGGCTATAAAGGGGCACCATGACCTTGAACATCCTTTATTAAAGAGTTGGGTCTTCTGTAGACGACGACAGTAAATCATGACAGGAAATGAGCTTTCTTCATCAGCACCTGCTGTGACAGTCCATGTCGCTGTTGGAAAGAGGACTCCTATTTGGATGCCCTCACATTCGTTGCATTTCTTTGGATGGATCTCTGCATGGCCTCTAAACCAATGGGTTGTTGTTGTTTTTTTCAGTCCATTTGTTTTTAAGACTTTCTTCGTGCTGTCCGGCCAGGTAGAGAGCATGTCAGGAGCAGGAAGGCCCGCTGGGTTCTGACTTTGCTCCACCACAAAGGAACTGAGTACCCGGGCCAGCTCACCTCATTTGGCCGGGCCTCCATTTCCTTTCCTACGGTGTGGGGATAAAAATACCCCTTAGGAGCTCACGGGACAACCAGATGTGAGAGCAGCAGGACCACAGACACTTCTGAGTCTAGAGAGAAGGCCATGAACTCAGCGGAGACATGACTTTTCCACATTTGCTCATTCGTGCAAGCAGCACACTTGATGCAATGGTCGCTGGGCTACCTTCTCAATCCAGACGTTCATTCACGGTGGCACAGGGCAACGGCCACAGACTATACTCGAACACTTCCTCTTAGGCCCCAGGGGCTGCAGCTCTGCCATGGGCCAAAGTGTGGTGCCAGAGGACATCTTCGGAGATTGGCATCTCCAGGCAGGATGCTTCTCTTCGGGGGCTGTCCCAAATGGCAGCACGACCACCACCCCAGGCAACCAATCAGATGCCAAGGCTAATGAGGATGTTCATTTGCAGTGTGCCAGAGTGGTACGATGTCTGCACCCCACAGCTTTCAACCCATCCCCTCCCACCCAATGGAGACATCAGTAGCAACAAGGAACAGAACGTCAACGGCAAAGATGGAAATACTCAGGACCGGCCCAATGGCAGCGTGGAGGTGTTAAAAAGGAAGAGATTAAAAAGCTTGGTAGAACCTCAATGACAGATCCGTGAGGGCAACACGTCACTGTCCCCGTGTCTACTGCTCGGCCAGCCTGAGGCCATAACTGAAGCCAGCGAGCCTGCCACCTACTTAGTAAAGCAGTGTCCGAGAGTTTCTCAGCCATGACGTCACGGACATTTGATACAGGTCATGTTTTTCTTTATGGGGAGGCGCTGTCCCATGCACGGCACAATGTTTAGCAGCCACTAGATGCCAGGAGCTTGCCCCATCCCAGTCGTGACAACCAAACATGTCTCCGGATATTGCCTAACTGACCCGGGCACAGGTGAGAATCAACAACCTAGAGGACCTAACCACCCCTCAAAGGACACTGTCCACAGGTCTATTCTACTCCCATTTCTGCTTGGCGTATACATACGATGCATCAATTTTTGTCACTGAAAAGCAAGTCAGCCTCTACATGCAACTGGTGACGGAATTCAGCTGACACACGGTAACAGGGAATAACCAAATGAGGTGAAACGATTTCCAAGGAGAAAAGAAGCATGATCATGATAAACTGGGAAAGGCTTCAAATCAGCACTACCTTTTCCACGAAGCATGGTAAGAGCTCCAAGAGTGAAGCCCTTTCCTTTTGGAATCCAAGGTGCTACCGTCGCCCCCGAGAGGAAAACAGCGCGGACGTGAATTGGAATCACCCAACGAGGCAATAAAAATAGATTTAATAAAACAAACCAAGCACATGCTTTGTTTCCGGCAATTGTGACACTGCTACACCACACCTCTTTCACAAATGGCTTCACAAACTATTGGGAGTTTTCCACTGAACCATTTGCCAAGTCTGATTCAACAGCAAAACCTGTTAAACGATCATCCGCCGGCCCTCAGAGATACTGCTTATTCGGCAGAGACAAGCAGACATGTAATACTCGGGCAGCTGTGTGGCTGCTTTTGCCTCTTCAGCTCAAACACACACCAAGGGAGCCAATTTGGGGTATTAAAAGCAGAATCATTATTAAGTATTTAGTGGACGTGCATACTTGGAAACACTGATAGCTATCCAAAGCCAAGAGGTATGATAGGTTTATTTCTAGTTGTCTACATTAGGGGTAGGCCAACGGAGGAGGCCCACAGGCNAAGCCGCTAGCAGCCCGCCCACTCCCGGGGCCCCGCACTTACTTATTGCATGGGCTCCGTTCTCTTCCCCGTTCACCGTGGCCTCTCCGTTCTTTGGTGGGTTGGGCTGGGAAACAGCCGCTGTCGCCGCCGCCGGGGCAGCTGTCACCGCTGGGGCAGCTGTCGCTGCCGTGGCTGCCGCCGCCGCTGCTGCCGCCGCCGCCGCTGCGGCGGCCTGCTGCTGAGCAAGCTTCTCCCGGAAGGCCTGCTGCCTCGTCTGCACCACGTCTGGCATCACAGCGTCGATCAGGGATAAGGACTCTATGGGGCGGCCGTCAAACACAGTGCCATCCTGCGGAGAAAGCGGAGGGACAGCAAGCCATCAGCCCTCCGTGGCTCCTGGCACCGGCGTTGTCCTCCAGGTGAGATGGCTGCAGGACAGGCGTGCGGAAATGCTGGCACGCAGGGGCCACGGAAGAAGCCAGCGTCCAGGGCGATGCCAACGGCATCCACGGTGGGCTGGGCGGGTGGGAGGATGGGACGGGGCAGGGGAGGGTGAGCAGCAGTCCCCAACGGGGTACCTACCAGGTAGGTCCCCGAGGGCGGCTGGCGTGGGGGCCGGGTCACGGCCCCGCCTGCGGTGGCATATACCTCATTGATGCTGATCTCGGCCTCCACATACTGAAGCCCCTTCTGCAGGATGGAGATGAGCGCGGCGGGGGGCACTAGCGTCCCGTTGATGTTGGACTGGCTGATGTGGCTCTCGATACCGAACGTGAACGCCGAGTGGGAAAAACCTGCAGCGAGAGGGAGACAGAGGGTCGTGAGGCTTGGACGGAAGGGAGCAAGGAACGGCCTCCGCGACCTTGAGGCAGCACCGCTGGTCTCACACATGCTTCATCAGCTGTAGGACGCCCGGCTTCTGATCTGGGGGGAAGTGGGCAGGGACAGGGGGAGATGCAGACCCAGCAAGACCTATGTTTGCACGGGATGGAAAAACAGCTTTCAGGGTCGAGCTGTCTCGGCGTTATTAAAAGCAAAATGGGACGGAGTCTGCCCTGGTGAGCGGTTCTGATATGGAAACCCGACTCCAGGCTTTCTCCTCTTCAGAACCTCAGAGCTGGGGTCTCTCTGTGTCTCCAGCCCAGCAGCACACAGGGCGCTCGCTGTTCCTCAGCCAAAAAGATAGGGGTTGGCAAATGCTGGGCGGATGCACCGCACAGCCAAACGGCCGAGCAAAAGAGGGTTTTCTCTGGACCAACCGGAGCGGCCTGGAGTCGTTTTATTGAAAATTTGGGAATTCTGCCTTGGCTGAGAGATGCTGGCTCTGTCCTTCCTCCCGCCCACACGCCTCACTGATCACCTGAACGGCAAGCTGCTGACAAACGCAACGCTGGCAATTTAAAGGGCTCCCGGGAAGGCCGGTCACGGTACAACACGTGCAGGCAACGCCTGTTTCAGTTCAGAAAGGGAAGCAACCTGGCAGGGAAGAAGGTGCTCTGGGGACCTCGAGCCAGCAGGAGCCTGCGATGACCTTCCCCGAGGACAGGACCGGGGCTCCCTCCCTCTGCGGGAGGTCTAGGCCACTGCAGGGGCTCCAAAAACAGGCGGCCCAGCCCAGTGGGGCTTATTACCACTGGTGGTGCAGGGGAGCTTGCAGTCCTTACAGATAGGCTGAGGGGCGGGCTCTGGGGGCCTGTGTGAGCAGCACGGACCTCCCCGCCATACAGGTGGGGCGGGGCCCAGGGGATGCTCAGTGTGGCTCTGGACTGTCTCACTGCTGATGTTGTCCATTGCTCAGGTAAAGGAGAACGGGGCAGGGGTCCTGGGAGACGGCGCGGTCGCTCCCTTGCCACCACGTTCGGCCCACCATATATGGCAGCGCAGGTTGGCAAAGTGTAGTCTCATTATCCCACAAGGCTGGAACCTTTGCAGGCTTCTTGATGTTAACAGGTTGGTGTAGCTCCCCTTCTGCTCCCATGTTCCCAGACCACCACCTTCACCAGCCAAACAAACGGGGCCGCGAGTGGGCCCCGCGTCCATCAGACTCAACACCCTCAGCGCTTCAGCGTCTAGCGAGCAAAACAGAACCAGGCGTTGCAACACGCGAAACGCCCACCAGAGGGCACCGCTTCTCCACGAAAGATTTCCGTGGTTCGCGGCCCTTTCTCTCTCGCCACTTCCTCCTCCGGTCCACCCCGTTCATTTCCCACCACCCACCGCCTGACTTTAAAGAATATATGAAAGATGGAGTTTCTTTATTTCATCGAGAATAAGGCAGCTGTACTAATGTGACAACCCGTTGCATAGAGAGCCCTGTCTACTGCTGCGTTTTTTGCAACACCACCTAAAAGAGTTTGCACAGGAGGCCCCTCCCCGGGCTGTGTCCCCACTGGGTCCCCCTCCGCCCCTGCTCTCTGAGCACATAAGCAAAGGCCCTTGATAATCGGCCTCCCTAACCACCCCAACTCTTCGTGTCTGACGACCCCACTCACTGGCTCCTGTCTTCTCTTCCATGTGTGTCCTGACCGTTGGACGGAACAGGGCACTGGAGGCAACGGCCATTTCTAACGCTTCTGGTATGTTTCAGAGGCCTAGTGCAGGACACTGCCCCTTGCTGTTACAATAAAAATAACAACAGGCATTCCTTACACAGCACCCACTCTTGGCAGAGCCCGGCCTCAGGGACGCCAATGAGTTCATTCACGCCTCCCGGTGAATACCCTCTGCAGGCATTCGCTCCCTCACTGCCTTCTCCCCTCTCTCAGACTGGGTCCCAAGAACTCGTGAGGGTCACTCACAGGCCCCCGTCACGCACTCAGCTCCTACGGCTGGGGCTGAGCTCCAAACTTGGGCTCCACTCCCGGCCCCCCATGAAACACCACCTAGTGACATCTGAGTGCCTCCATCTGAGCAGAGCAGCTTTTGGTATAGGTATGTCTTAGTCTGTCCCAGCTGCTGTAACAAAAAACATCCCAGACTGGGTAGCGTATGTAAGAAACATTTCTTTCGCACAGTCGGCGTCTGCTGAGGGCCCACGGCCTGGTCCACAGACAGGCCGCCTCACCTCTGTGTCTCCCACGGCAG